GATCCTTCCAATTCAGCCTTCCAAGTAGCCTTAACTACAAGTTCATGCTACCACACCCAGCTAATTTTTTATTTATTGTAGAGACAAGGTCTCGCCAAGTTGCCTGGGCTGGTCTTGAACCCGTGGGTTCAGGCAATCCACTCGCCTCGGCCTCCGAAAGTGCTGGGATGACAGGCTGAGCCACTGAGCCTGGCCTACTATTATGTTTTAATAATGGTAAATAAATGATGCAGATCAACTTAGTCATTCGAGTAAGAAAACTATTGGAAAGAAACATGTAAAGGAAATGGATATCATCATTCTGTAAATATCGAGAACACCTGGTTGTCTTCCAGGTTAGTCCATTAAGGAAGTAGGTGGCCAGGGCCTGAGAGCACCTGACTTGGACTCAGGCCTGCACTGCATCCTTGTTCTACCACTTACTCACTTGTATACCAGAGGCATAAACCTCTTCAAGTCTGATCTGAATAGTATTTCAAGGTGAGGATTAAAAAGATAATGTGTGTAAGATGCTTAGCCTGCTATCTGGCACAGGCAGTGCCCCAGAATGCTTGCTATCACTGCTGATGTTCTAACTCTGGGGCCTTGGGCTGGTCCTGAGCTTTCAGTCTCTGAATATTTCAGTGGTAGAAAGTTAAGACTGTGATCTCAGAGATCACTTTTGGTTCTTATGATTTTTACCTACTAGAAAGGGGTAGCTGGATTTCTGAGAAGCAATTACTTCACTGTGAGTTCTAGCTTTCAGGTTACGGAATTAATGCTGCTCCCTAACTTATGAAATAAAAGCACCCCAAGGGGCCAGGTAAAGAATGTTAAATATGGCACTTGTGTGATTGACACCATTAGCCAGTAGGACAGAATTATACAGATTGATGATAATCTGAACCAGAATAATATGTCTGAAAAAGTTATAGCTAATCTGAGGCATACCCACTACCTTTTAGAAAGCTATTGTGTTGTCACCAAATAAAACTACATCAGCAATCAAACATCACAGCTAACTGCTCAGACATACACAGCATATTCCCTGAGACAGAAACACAAAATGAATGAAGAATTTTAATCTCAACCTTTTCTTGCAATTAAAAAAGTGTTTTCATTGAACTGCAGTCAGCTTATTTACCTTTCTCAGAAACACAATTTACTTAATTGGTTAAGGGGAAAAAATCTATCAAGAATATCACATCTATCTCTCTGCCACCTTTCCATGTTAGTTCCAATCAATAAATGTCTATGTGAAACATGGTATGGGATACTTGGGCATGGAATTATGATAAGACCTGGTTCCAATCAACAGGGAGGGAAATACACATGTGGTCAGCCAAACATCAAACTGGACAAAAGGTGGTAAAGGCGATAATGGTAATGTAATAAAAATGGAGTGGGAGGATAAAGGAGAAGCTGATGAATTCTGACTTGGAGAACTTTGGAGGGTTTCACATAGTAGTTGACATTTCAGTTAGGATTCAACACATATTTAGTAAGTGTCTACTGGGGTTAAATATTGCTCTGGGTGCTAAGAATAGCCCAATAAATAGTGAAGACAAAAACAGCCCTGAACACACGAAACTTGTATTATGATTAGGAGAAAGGGGATTAAGGAAACAAGAATAATAAGTAGAAGGTAATAAAAACTATGGAGCAAAATAAGGATGAAAAAAGGCATAGGAAGTGCAAAGGCTCAGGAATGCTCTCTGTGAGAAGGCAACATTGTAGCAAAGATGTTCTTGAATGCACTTGTGTTATTGAAGGGAAGTTAGGGAATGATCCACATGGATCCTGGAGGGGAAGAACTTTCTAGACAGACTGAACAGTGAGTGCAAAGATCTTGGGAAGGTGGAGTATTGCTTTAGGGAAAACAAGGAAGACAGGGAGACTGAAGAAGAGCGAGCAAATAGAACCGTAGGAATGGTAAGAGATGAGGCTGGATGGAGAGGTAACAAGAGGCTTGAGCCAGAGCAGGAAGGCTTTCTTCTAATTCTCTAAATGAGACAGGCAGTCATGGGAGGGTTTGGAAGCAGAGGAATGACCCAATCTAACTTATGTTTTACCAGGTTTACTCCAGTGCTAGGCTGAGAATACCCATGGGAGATCATTGGGGTAGTTGACATGAGACTTGGATATACTTAAAAGAGAAGTAAAGAAGTGGTAGGTTTCAGTATATGCTTTATTTTAATTGTTTTTACATTTTATTTATTATTATGAAAATTTCCTTAAGGGTGCAAACAATTCTCTTATAAAAATTTGAGGAGAAAATGACATGCTTGAAAAACACACTTGGATAAATAAGTCAGAGATGAAAGCTTGTAAAATTTCCCTTCTGATTTTCCAGGGAGTTAGAAGCAAGGTCAACTAAAATTGAGGGAAAGAGGGAAGGTGTTGGAGACTTGAGAAGAGAAGAAAAGGTATGAAATATGATCAGAAGCATGTGTGAGAGAGGCTGACTGATAAACGTAATATAATTTCCAGCAAGCAGCATGAATGGATAGCATGAGATGAGTAGCCATGAATTTAAAGTGAGAAGAATCGGGTCAGCTGTGCCTTTTCTTTTAGCTTTGCTCAGTTTACAAGAGTACAAGTAAACAGTAGGTAGAAAGTTGCATTCGCTTGAGTTGGTTTTTGCTAAGCAAGCAGTAAGAAATGAGAGTGGCAAGCAAAACATTGACGCATGTCAGCAAGTGTTTACAATAACTGGCTGTGGGATTTTAGCTACTGAATGATTCAAGGAAAATGGGAATGATGAGGGAGAGTAAAAACTCCATAAAGTCAATGGATTGTAAATCCCTGTGGAATTAAAAGTTTATTGCCATCAGAGTCTACACAGAAGACAGGAAGATAAGCGTCTAATGGGTAAGGCAAGGATATGATTTTTTGAACTGAGCTAATAGAAGGGTTGTGGTGATTGGTACTGCCAAGATCCACAGTATGACCATGAGCGGGAGTAGCCAACGGGGTATGGAGGACTGATGTTTGTGCTTGAAATGTAAGGGAAATTTCAATAGAAGAGAAAGGAGCAAAATCGGATTATAAGCACGCAAGTGAAATTATGAAAATAAAATGGTTCACTCAGACACAGCAACTCCAACTTCCTCCCCTTTCCCCTTTTAGTCTTTTCTTTAGTCTCTCTTCCTCAGTGTCTCTGAGCTCACACTATTTTGAGCCCTCTATTTTGCCTGTGTGCAGTGACTGCTCTGAACACTTTCCCTGAATTTCCTCCCTTAGTTCTCACAGAAATCCTAAAAAGGTAGAGTTTATGTTCCTTTTATCCATTCTAGCAGAGGGGTGTAATTCCTGTGTTATACATGATTACACACAAGCCACATCTGATCAATAATTAGGACCATTTTCAAATCCAGTTATTTGGACTTAAATGGTAAATTTTCAACCATTGCAAGTTAGGAAAACCAAACCACAATTCTACTTACTGTGGCTAGACTTCCATTGAAAGAAGTTTGGAAGCTATAGGTGCATGTCTTTGTACAGAAATTTTACTCTATTTAAATGTAAGAACTAGTTACATTTGGGAGCAGTAGAGTGAGTGATCCAAGCTGTATTTCAAAGCGATAACAACAGACAGTGAGGAGGTAGGACTTGAAGGTGAGAAACTACTTCCAGAAATCAGGTAAATGATGATAGAAGTAACAGAATAAAAGGGGCATGACTGAGCTGTGGCCGAGGTTGACTTGACAGGATGTGAGGAAGAACGGGAGTGTTGGGAAGCAAAGGGGAGTAAAACATGGCTTGGGTTTTTTGCTCGGCCAACTGGATGAAAGGCCGTAACAAACTAAGAAAGGAGAAGAAGGGGATGTTTAAGGAGGAGACAGTGAGTATGGTTGGGGCAGGCTAAATTTAAAGTGCTTCCAGGAAATCCACATAAAAACGTGATGAGGATGGGGCAAGAGTTATCACCTGTAGTTTTCACAGCTCTACACACTGAGATCCAAGAAACTTAGGAGACATCAAGTCACAAAGTGAAATAGTTGCCGAGATAAGACCCAAACGAATGCCTGCTTCTTCTTAGTAATGAATGATCTAAATGCGCAGAAAGCTTTATGTGTATGTCTCTTTCCTTCCTTTCATTTTAAAGTAAGATCAAATTGTTTGAGAACATAGGCACTTTAACTGTTGCTGCTAAATCATTTTGAGAGCACGCAGGTGAGGATTTGTATTGTACCACCTAATCATCAAACTGTACCATTTTGAACAAGACACCATTCTGGCAAGGTCAGTTTTGAGGGTCCACTTTGAATCCTGAGAGGTTCTTGAAGATTACCATGAGTTTAAAGTCCTCACACATTTGAGAGACTAGAAGCCTAGCATGTGTGCACCTGCTTTTCCCCACATGGGACTTTTCCAATATCTACCTTAGACTTATAATCGAACTTCAATTCTTAAGATAGTGGAACATTTTAAGGGAAAACTGCTGTATGCAAAACAAAACAAAACAGTAGATTGTAATCTTGAAACAGACACAGACACTCAATAATAATATTCACATAACAGCTTCTCCAAATACTAAACACTTGTATATGCAACCTAATTTCATCCTAACAAAAATCTTGCGGTAAGTATTATTATTTCCTCCTCACTAAAGTGTAAAGTAAGATTCAGGGAAGTCATGTGTTTTTTCTGAGCTCACACAATGTCCATGGCTGAACTGGGATTACAAATTAGCCACAGGGGTTCTTTACTATCCTGTTCTGTCAATGTACAGACTAATTCTGTGCTTTGTGTATCACTTTGAAAACAAATAAAATAAGAAATCTATAGGATATACTCCCATTCTTGCCTTTTTGTTCAAGGAAGCTCCATATATATTACTTAATTTGACTATGTAGAGTATCCTGCTTTTAAAAACTGCACATCTCCATTTAGCAGGAAACAGAAGGCACAGAGTAGAGATCTCACAGCATCTCTTAAGTTCCAGTTCAGCATCCCTCACTGTTGTTATCCTGCAGTGACAGTGAGTTAGGCCAAGTTTCACTAGTAGCCTCACCTACCTGTTGTCACCTTCTCTGGAGAAAAAGACTGCAAAGGTTTGAATGTTCCCCTTTGCTTCTGCAGGTGGGCGCCAGCTGAGACGGACAAACCGACTGGAAACCAGGACAGGAACCACATCCCTGGGAGCCGAAGGGAGGACACTGGAGCTTGGGATAGCTAAGGAGGAAGGAGAGGAGGACGTCAGAATTGTGGGAGCCACAGATGGGAACTGGGCAGGAAGGCGGAGCAGACATATTGGCAGGCATGGCCATATTACAGTCACATTGATTCCAAAGGAAGGGAAAAAAAAAGAGAGCAAGACACAGTGAATAGAATCAAAGGTATATTCACATTTCTTAGGCTTTAAAAAGGGTCGCTAATAATAACATGTATGATTCTACTGCATATTTGTCAGTGTCTACGACTCATGGGATCCATGATAATTTTTTTTAAACGTCCATTTAGGCAAGACACAGGAAGATAAATTGGGTAATATGAGATTTTAACAAGTGCAAAAGTACTAGAAAGACCTTCCTTCAGAACTGTGGATAATATGATTCAATACTGTAAAGAGATTACATTTCTAGTGGTTTTAAGTGATAGTAGAAAATGTCGGGCCACCCCCTCAGGTCTCCTCCCACTGTGGGAGCTTTTCTGTCCTCTCAATAAATCCTGCTTTAAAAAAAAAGAAAAGAAAATGTCTTGGACAAGAGGAAAATTATTTTAAGCAATTAATAACATATTTTCCTGCATCCTTTCTGGAATAAATCAGGAGTTGGATAAGTAAGGATATAGATGAATGAATAAACAAATAAATAAATGCATGTATCCATACTTTAAGTTAAGAATGATATTATAATTCAGAATATAAACATAAGATTGTTAAGTGTAAAGATACGTTTAGAGTAACTTTTATTTTTGTTTGGAGTCTCATTCTGTCGCCAAGGCTGGAGTGCAGTGGCACAATCACGGCTCACTGCAACCTTGACCTTCTGGGCTCAGGGGATCCACTGCCCTCAGCCTCCCAGGTTCCTGGAACTACAGGTGCATGCCACCATGCCTGGCTAATTTTTTGAATTTTTTTGTAGAAAGGGGATCTTGCTCTGTTTCCCAGACTAGTCTCAAACTCCCAGGCTCCAGCAATCTTCCCACCTCAGCCTCCTCAATTACTGGGATTATAGGCATGAGGCACCTTGCTAGGCTTGAGTTGACCATTCTGTCAAAGAGAACCTACAAGTATTTTCAAGAGTTCCAAGAAGAGGTAAGAAAGGGCCATAATCTCGCAGGAATTTACAGGTGTTTTTTTTTTTTTGGAGGGGAGGATATTACTTGAAAAAATATGATCATACAGTTTTAATAGACAGAGGGTTTCCTGATTTCTGACCAAAAATGCACTATGATCACCTTCATCTCATGTTTAAGAAAAATATATAACTAAGCTGATTTTTTAAAATATTGAACACATGTTAAAATATGTTTCATAATGGAAAAGACACAGCCCAAGTAGGTGAACATAAATTAACATGGAGTTTAGTGAAACTCCAATTTGGAAGTCAAACCACTGGAGACCCCAACATTTCATAACGGAACCATGGACTCATACGTGTTGATAAATGCCTCAGGTTACCAAGCAGCGCAAAACCTGATTCCTGGCAGAATCTGTTCCAACTGCTTTTGATGCAATTTGAAGTAGCGTATTTATATATATTTTTAAGACCACAAAAAATTAAGAGCAGAAATGAAAAGTTAGCACAAGCTAATAAAAAGTAGAAGCGATTTTCAGGGACTACCTTGTAGTAAAGGACATGACAGAAAAATACAACTGCACCATGCTTGCAGAGTCTACTGTATTTATAGCAGAATTTGACAACTGTTATCTGTAGGAGTAACTGAATTACCCATAGTTAGGAAACTGGCTTTTCAATCATCCGATGCATTTATAATAAGTAATCGAAATTTATATTAAATATGCGTGTGTGTTGCGGTGTGTTTGTGTCTGCGTGTATGTGTGTGTGCTCGTGTGTGTGTGTGGATTCCCAATTCATTTTTATTGGATGCCTGTTTTCTTTGTGTTTGTTAAAGCTTCCAAGTCTAGGCACATGGGTTTCATCTAGACAGTCGATTTCTAGCTCTCAACCACAGGTGCTCATTTCCCTACATTTAATCTTCAAACTGTTTCTCTGTAGACCAGTTTCTCTAGGCTTACCAGTTAGTCTTTATTCTTACATTCACTTCGTACAGGGACTGGCTCAGTTCATATGACTGCCATGAGCTTAACTTCTGTTAGCTGAAAAAATCCATTTATGTGTGTGGGAGAGGACGCTTCATTTCCTAATGGTTCCAGAAATAGTGTCAATTTACAATACATAGCACTTTACTCGGAGAAAGAGAGGTTTTAAAGAATGACAGTAAGTGTTCTGAGTTACTTCTGACTCCATAGATTCTTTGACTACTTCCTGGTAGATAAAATGCGCCCTGCTTTCCTGATCAGCACAGTCTTTGAAACAGATGGAAGACGGGCAGCGGGTGAGTCCATCTTGCCCAGCAGAGTGGTGAGGGGAGGGGAGGAGACTGACGCCTGGACACGGAGCATCGCTCTCAAAAATGTGGCTGATATTAAGCTTCTGGACAAAAACCTTTACTTCCACACACCCTAGGCGTCAACCTCTCCTCTCCTTCCCCTCGGACTGATGTTCCTCCCAAACTGGGTCCATGCTGTCCTCTCCACTGTAAGCCCAGAAACTCGAAGAATGATTCCTGCCCCTCCCTCACTCCGCATGCTGGAATTCCACCTCCCAAGTGGTTTGTAAATCTACCTTCCCTAGCGTATCTTCCCCGTCACGCTTATAACCACACAGTGCTAGCATCACCACAGGTGACTTCCACTACTCTGCCGCCCTTAAACTCATCTTCCTCCAACACAGGCTCTGTGCAGCATCCAGAATTAGCTTCTAGCAATGCAGATCTGGCTCTATCCTTCGGCAGCTCATCTTCCTTATCTTCTGTTGGCCCAGGGCGAGCTCTAAACTTAATTAGCTTGCTGGCCTGGCTCCTAAGACCCTGTGTCTTAATTTGTCGCTCCACCCGCCCCCAACAGGGTGTGAGAAAAAGATGTATGTGTAGATAAGCTGCTTGGGAGGTGAACCCAGGAAGACCAGCGGGGGAGTCAGGAAGTGAGGTAGGAAGGAGAAGGAACCTGATCAAGGATGAGTGATCCAGGTGGTTGTCGTTGTGGGATACTGAAGGCCGCGCCCATTCAGGACTCTAGAAGTCAGGGCAGAATGCGCCTGAGTTATCTGTCCCTGAGGGTACCCACTTCTTCCTTGTTATTTGTTAAGAGTGATTTCAGGGCCACTATCCTTCCTGACCAATCGCCTAGTAAGTTCCTGTGGATAGAAAAGCACAAATGTGAGTCCGCGGGTTCGAGACCCACCTGGGCAGCGAGACCTCATCTCTACAATAAATTAAAAAATCAGCCGGGCGTGGTAGTGCCTGCCTGGAATTCCGGCTACTTGGAAGGCTGAGGCGGAAGGATCGCCAGAGCCCAGCAGGTGGAGGCTGCAGTGGCCGGGAACAGCCACTGCCCTCCAGTCTGGGAGAAAGAGTGAGACTCCAACTCAAAAAAAAAAAAAAAAAGAAAAGAAAAGCACAAATGCCTTTGGGCACAGGCTTGCAGGTGTTCACAGTAAATGGTGTTGGGAAGCTCTACTCAGCAAATAGCCACATTCACCGGCCACCTGCCCATCCTCGCTTCAAGTGCAGAGAAGAGAACAACGACCATCAGAGGTGGCCATTTTTCTTCCAGGCGATCACGTGCAGGCTTCTTGGCTTTTGATGCTCTACAGTGTGTTCTCTTAGTATTGAACCCCTGCAGTTCTCTGGGGCCAGAAGCAAATCCTACACTTTAACAAGCCCATCGCCTCTGTCTGATCCACTCTTACTTTCCCTCTTGGTTTAGTTAGGTGCCGTTTCCTCTGGAAAAACCAACCAAGTGTCTATGGAAGCTATATGATACACAATATCATATGTAAAAAGAATATCTAAAATCAATAAAATAATGAATAACCATGCTTAAAACTATGGATCAATTAGATGCATAATAAAATAAATGCACATTAAAACAAAGCCTAAAAAGAATTCTGCCAGAGCGGCAAGACTTCAAAGAAGGTTAGTCCCTCACATTAGTCAGGGTGTGTCACTCCAAGACATTGTCAGTTGAAGGCTGCTTGACTGCTATCTTTTTAGAAGTCAGTTTAGCAAACTACCTTAAAATAAAAAATATATAACATTTGGCCAAACAGTCTCATTTCCATAAGTGTATTACTTAAAAAAATAACAAATGCCCCCTTTATTCATATATTAATCTGAAATTAGAGCTAGCACATTTACTCAAAATGTAGTACCTATCCACCTTATCAGTTTAAAGATAGTGGGATCTTTACTCGACTTTTTAGAAAAATGTATTTTTAAAAATATATAATTAATGATGATTCAGAGAAACCTTTTTGAGAATTTTCAAGAAGTTAGAAAAATAAGTAAAATTAAAAGAACAAGAGGGAAGTTTTCATATCCTAAATCCCCAAGAATATCTCCCTCAGACATGTCATCATTATTAAAAATTCATTGTTTTCTCCACCCAGCCAGGGACTGCCCCCCAAAACAAAGCCAATGGAAATTTGCAATCAGGGAGAGGTCTTTCTCTCTCTTCCCTTTGGCCTTGGGGAGTGTATTCTTACAGAGCTGGTCTAGACTCATATTGCAAAGATAAACCTCAGAATAGAATTAATCACAGACCCTTTACCTCAGTTTAAACAGGCGTTATATGAAAAGGAAAAGACACGTATTAAACAAATGAATGGCCTCTTATTTCAAACAGGGGAATTAATTTTGTTCTGACTAATCCTCCGTGCTTTCTCGACAGTAACTTGCCTTCAAATTAGGTCTCAATAAAGAACCAATCAGGACTTCTTTTCTTTGCTCTTGGAGACCTAATCTCCAGCCTGGCCCTAATCTCTCTGGCCCATTACTGTTGCCATAGTTACACCTTCTTTATCTGTTGTCAAGGAGAAGAGGAGTGTGGTGAATTTGCCACATTAGAACAGCATAGTCTTTTATGTTTTAAGAACACCTTTTCAAAAAAATTTTTATCATAGCAAAATCCAACAAAAGGAGGTGAT